TGGGTGAGGTGTGGAAGTGCTAAGTCACTATGTTGTACACCTGAAACTAATATTACACTGTATGTTAACTACTGGAATTTGAGTAAAAACTTGAAACTACAAAAAGAAAGAAAAAAAGAAATGTTTATTTCCTGACACCAGGAAGGCAGAGAAAGATGATGAAGGCCAGCATCCAACTGCTGGAGTTGACAGCATGTCAAAAATGGTTAAAATGCCCAAACAAGACAGATCCATTGTGTCACATCTAGGGCCCTGGTTGGGAGAATCTGGGCCCCTAGCACCAAAGATGGGGATATCTGGGTAGATGACCCTAAATTTTGGCTCCTCAGCATTCCCTGAATGTGCAGAAATGGTCCATGCTTCCTGTTAACAGCTAGTGGTTCCTTGTGTGGAAAGACAATAGAGCATAGACATTCCTCCTGCAGAGTGACATGTGTCCCCTCTTCTTTTTTTTTTACTTTTTAAAAAAAATGTTTTAAAATTTATTTCTGAGAGAGAGAGACAGAGTGTGAGTGGGGGAGGGGCAGAGAGAGAGGGAGACACAGAATCCGAAGCAGGCTCCAGGCTCCGAGCTGTCAGCACAGAGCCCGATGTGGGGCTTGAACTGACGAACTGTGAGATCATCACCTGAGCCGAGGTTGGACGCTTAACCGACTGAGCCACCCAGGTGCCCCTTGTCTGCTTTCTTAGTGTCCGTGCCTTTGCCAGAGAATACATCTCTACCCCGGCTGCCGACAAATTCAGCTGTAGTGACACAGCAAAGTATCCTCTAGTCTGGAACTGAGAGTGACAACGAGCCACACCCCTGCATGCACATCAGTACTCTCATAAATCCTCTGTTCCCAGAGCATATTTTAGAATATACTTTAACTATGTTCCAGATTTATATGATGGTTCAATGGTGTTCTCCTATGAGTTTTAAAATTTTAATAGGAAATATACATTCATTGAAAACAACAGCAAAAATGTTAGCCTTAATTTATTTATTTATTTATTTTAAATTTTTTTTTTCAACGTTTGTATTTTATTTTTGGGACAGAGAGAGACAGAGCATGAACGGGGGAGGGGCAGAGAGAGAGGGAGACACAGAATCGGAAACAGGCTCCAGGCTCTGAGCCATCAGCCCAGAGCCCGACGCGGGGCTCGAACTCACGGACCGCGAGATCGGACCGCGAGATCGTGACCTGGCTGAAGTCGGACGCTTAACCGACTGCGCCACCCAGGCGCCCCATGTTAGCCTTAATTTAAAACAAAATAAGCATTATATCATTAATGTTTAAAACTAACCTTAAAATATCCACCAGCAGATGGCAATATAATCTTAAATATTACTGGTAATAGGAGATTAATTTATTAAAATAAATAAATTTAACTAATTAATTAATGAAAATAAAGATGCATGGTTCTCCTGCACCAAGATTTTTTTCTTTTTAAAATGTCTATTTGAATGCCACAAAAAGTCATTAATTTTTTTAAGTTAAGTTTTAGAGTTCCAGTAAAGTTGCAGTGTTGTTAGTTTTAGGTGTACAATATGGTGATTCGACAACTGCGTACATCATTACTTGGTGCTCATCAAGGTAAGTGTGCTCTTATTCCCCAGCTCCTCCCCCACCGCCCCCCTCCCCTCCACACTCCTCTCCCCTCTGGCAGCTCTCAGTGCTCTCTCTGCCTGCAGTTAAGAGTCTGTTCTGTGGTTTTCTCGCTCACTTTTTTTTCCCCTTTCCTTGTTTGTTTTCTTTCTTAAATTCCAATATGAGTAAAATCATACAGTATTTGTCTTCTCTGACTGAAAAAGTCATTAATTTTATGACTATAAAATATATATTATCATTAGAATGCAACCTTAATTGTAAAACAAAATTATATGCTCGTTCTGAATTTATGATAATTCTGACATGGTCTATATGCAAGTATTATTGATTTCTAAGATTCAAAATACTCTCTTTTATTTTTATTTATTTTCTTTGAGAGAGAGGAAGAGACAGAATTCGTAGCAGGCTCCAGGCTCCAAGCTGTCAGCACAGAGCCCGATGTGGGGCTCAAACCCACGAACCAGCCCCCTGAACTGTGAGATCATGACCTGAGCCAAAGTTAGTCGCCTAACCAACTGAGCGACCCAGATGCCCCACAGAATACTCTCTTAAATGTCAGGTCCTGACTTGTTAGGAGAATCTTAAAATCATCTGCTTTTCCCAACCAATTAAACAATTCTTAGACACTTTTGCCTGCTGTAATTGTTGGCTCTGGGCCCTTTTATAACTTAAAGTGCTTACATATGTGACACACAGAGTCTGTCACATTTTTCCACAACATATGATAAACTAAACGTGTACATAAATACAGAATGTAGTTAGTTAGCCAAAAGTTAGCTTACTATAATATTCTGGAATTTACCTTGAATTTCCTCAGTTAGATTTCTTTTTAATTTATAGGACAATTGGAAGTCCCACCCAGAATTACTAGGCAAGAAGAAAGAAAAAGCATTCAAATTGGAAAGGAAGAAATAAAACAGTCACTGCTTGCAGATTCCATACTGCCATATATTGAAAACCCTAAAGACATTAAAAGTAACAAATTCAGCAAAGTTGGAGATACAAACTCATATGCAAAAATCTGTTGCATTTACATTAATAATGAACTATCAGAAAGAGAAATTGAGAAAATAGTCCCATTTAAAGATGCATAGGAAAGAATAAAATACCTAGGCACAAATTTAATCAGGGAGGTGAAAGTTCTGTACATTGAAAGTTCCAAGACATTAATGAAAAAAATTGAAGATGACACAAATAAATGGAAAGATACTCCATGCTCATGAATTGGAAGAATTAATATTGTTAAAATGCCCATACTACTAAATGCCATATACAGATTCAATGCAATCCCCATCAAAATTCCAATGGCATTTTTCACAGAAGGAGAACACACAATCCTATAATTTGTATGGAACCACAAAAGACCCAGAATAGTCAATGCAATCTTGAGACAGGAAAAAAAAAAAAAAAAAAAAAAGCTGGAGGCGTCATAGTCCCTGATTTCAAATTACATTACACAGCTATAACAATTAAAACAGTAAGGTATTGGCATAAAAACAGACACACAGATCAGTGGAACAGAATACAGAGCCTAGAAATAAACCCACACATACATGGTCAATTAATTTATGACAAAGGAGCCATGAATATACAATGGAGAAAGGACAGTGTCTTAAATATTTGGTGTTAAAAAACTGGACAGCCACATGCAAAGCAATAAAACTGGACCACAATCTTACCCCACACACAAACACTAACTCAAAATGGATTAAATAATGTAATACCTGAATGAAGATAAATACCTGTAATATTTGAATGTAAAACCTGAAACCATAAAACTCCTAGAAGAAAACATAGGAGGTAAGCTCCCTGACCTAAGTCTTGGTGATGGTTTTTTGAATCTGACACTAAAAGCAAAAGCAATGAAAGCAAAAATAAGCACTTGGGACTATATCAAATTAAAAAGCTTCTGCACAACAACAATAAAAATCGTAAAAAGGTAATCTGTATGGGAGAAAATAAATGCAAATCACGTATGAGACAATGGGGCCAATATCCAAAATATATGTAGAACTCCACTCAATATCAAACAAAACAACCCCCCCCAACAATCTGTTTAAAAAATAAGCAGAAGTCCTGAATAGACATTTTCCCAAAGATATACAGATGGCCAATATGTACATGAGAAGATGCTCAACATCACTGATAATCAGGGAAATGCAAATAAAAACCATGAGATAACAATGAATAACACATCACACCTGCTAGAACTGCTATCATCAAAAAGACAAGAAATAACAAGTGTTGGCGAGAATATGGAGAAAAGAGAACCCTCTTGCATTGTTGCTGGGGGCAGACGTGTGGAAAACAGGATGGAGTTTCCTCAAAAATTTAAAAATAGAAATACCATATGATCCAGCAATTCCACCTTTGCTTATTTATTTGTCCAAAGAAAACAAAAACTAATTTGAAAAGATATATACACCCCTAAGTTCACTGCAGCATTACCTACAAGAGCCAAGATACAGAAACAACCTAAGTGTCCACTGGTGGATGAATAGATAAAACAGATGTGGTATGCAGACACAGTGGAATATTATTCAGCCATAAAACATGAAATCTTGCCATCTGTGATAACATGAGTGGAACTTGAGGCATTATGCTAAATGAAGTAAGTCAGAGAGAGAAAGACATACTGTATAATCTCTCTTACATGTGGACTCTAAAACCAACCGACAAAGAAAAATACCAAACTTATAGATACAGAGAACAGATTGGTGCTTGTAGGAGGCTGGGGGGTGGGGAGGGGTGTTGGGAGAAATGGGTAAAGTTTTTTTTTTTCAGTTTAAATAGATGGAATAATATTGTAAAAAAAAAAAAATAAAAGGATGTTAACTTTGAGAATTTTTTGTAATATAGGGGACAGGAAAAAAAACAAATGTCTATCAATAGAATACTGGTTAAATGAAATAAATACAGTATAATCTGTAAAAGGAATACTATGCAGCTAGAAAAAAGAATGAGGAGAGAGGTCCTACATATGTGATTTTTTTCTTTATTTTGAAATAGTTTCAAACTCAAGGGATAAGTGTAAAAATTAGTACAAGGAATTTCCTTTTACCTTTCACTAACTTCTCCAAATCTTGCCATTTTTTACCATAATTGCTTTATCATTCTCTCGAATCAGATTTTTCTTCAGGTTTACAGAGATATAAATGAACTATTACATCATGTAAGTTAACCAGATATAATTGTAAGTGAAAAAAAATTCCATTAGTGAGCAGTACAATCCAATTTTTGGATACACATATGCACACAAAAAAACAAAAACTATCAAGGAAAAAATATCAAGGAGCCCATATTACTTTGGTGTATTTACAAAGAATCATGAACACCTGGAAATTCCTTCGAGCTGTGAGTTATAGACTCTGCTTCCCATTGGACTCACCCATGTCCAGGCCACGCCCATACAAATATGGTAAGAATCTGAGGGTATCATCAGGTATCAGTAAATTTTAAAACTTCCAGTGTGATTCCAGTGTGAAACTCTGGTTAAGAGCCACTTGTTTGAATCAGTTGCTGTCACAGTTAAGTGTCCACATGAATCACCCAGATATAATATTAATACACACATACTCATTCAGTAGGTCTGGGGTGGATTCTGAGCTCCCGCATTTGTAAGCAGCTCCCAGCTGCTGCTGCTGCTGGTCACGGACCAGACTTGGAAAAACACTGGCTTAGTTTTTAAGGCGGTGGTTCTCCAAATGTAACGTGTTTCAAAAATCACCTGGGAAAGTTGGTAAAAACAGGCTCAGGCCCATTTTTACTGAAGTTTACTAAAGACTGGTCTACTTCAGTAAGTCTGGGCCATTCATTAGCTGTCTAGATGAGGCCGACGGACACCAACATTTGAGAACGGCTGTTTTTCGATGACCAGAATGCCTGCAGCTGAGCAATCCTAAGATCATTACATGCACAGTTTCTCTGATGGTAATGTGACACCTGGTTGCCAAGGTGACTGGCCTGGTTTGATGCTTTTCCCACTGGTTGGAATGCTGTAGAAATCCTACCCATCTTTCAGGGCCTACACTCATGACAATTTGTTTGCGAAGCGTCTCTAACCACCTCTACTGGATTGGGAGTCTTGCATGGCTGTAAATACCTGCACTGGCTCCTGTAGCACCTCGCCCCACACTCCCATTAGTGTTAAAGCTAAAACCAGAGACTGGATTTCCCATTTTTGTATTTGTCTTCCTTTCCTCTGAACGCTCCCTTCAATGAGATGGATCTCTGTCCTCACCTTTGCCTACGTTGCAGCCCTTATTTGTTACTCGAGGCACGAGTATTCATGCCTTCATTAATGAGGTAAGTGAGTGAGGTGTTCCCGGGGGGCAGTGAGCTCTGGGTAGTGACTGCAGCTGGTTACATGTGCCACATGGATGCAGGGATGCGGTCTTGCTCACACTACGTCCACCACACCCGGCACGCGGCACGTGTCCATATGTTGCTGTCAGTGAAAGACACAAGTGAAAGGGAACAAGAGTCAAGGCACAGAGAACTTTCATGGCGAGACAAGGATTTGAGAGTTGTTCAGTAAGCATCGTGATGCAACTTTTCAGCAGGGAAAATGTGTGATGATGATGAAGATTTTTAACACAGGGGCTGTGGCAAAAGCAAGGAGATGCTGGCCTGAAGAGGGAAGGGAGGAGACAGTCCCATCAGGAGGATGTCATATAATCGAGGTTGGAGCAGATATTAAGGTATAAAACACAGGCTAATCATCATTTTGTTGAGCATTTACTTTGTATTACTTATAATGCGAAGTACATACATGATCTTTTATCTTTATAAATGTGCCATGTGGTAGATATTCTCACTTTATAAATAATGAAATCTAGGCTCAAAGACATTAAGCCTCTTGTCAAAAGTCACACATGGGAGCCAAGACTTGAACCCAAGACGGTCCCGCTCCAAAATCTTACTGCAGTAATCGCAGTGATGTGGCGGGAATCGCAGTAATCTCCAGCAGGTTCTGGAGATACTTCTATTCTGGGGAGAACTGACCCACTGGAATTACTGATTCAGGTTTGGGGAAACCAGAATGAGGCAGGAAGAAACAACATTTTGTAGCATGCCCTAATGATACACCTGATCACGCCATGTCATTATGTGGTGAAGGCTGAAGTGATGGTCTGCGTACTCAGCATCTTCGTTGCAAACTCTTAGGAGGAATGTCTCAGGAGAAGCACACAGAATCCCCTGGTTACCTATAATTCTGGCCCACATCCCCTCCTTTCCTTCTGGCTCTTGAAGTGCAATTTTCTGGTAGCTTGGGCACATTATAAAATAAAGGTGAGTGGCCAGGAAAAGACTTTCTGCTGATGTTTGGTGTGGGAGGTGGGTGCAGATGTCATCTTTTGTGGCTCAGTTTTGTGAGTCCATTAAATGCCCTGTTTTAAGAAAAGCGTAGTAAATACTTGTGCCCACCAGTACATTTTCAAATCATGAAATTAGAGCTGCTCTTAAGATCAATCAATAATAGAGAATTTGTTCAGAATGCGAAAAACTGAAAAAGCTCTACTTAATACCCACACGGTCCAAATCCATTCAGTTCTATCACAGCGGGAGAAGGCATGACATAATTCCAGATACGAATGAAAGTGGATTGAATTTTCTGAAAACTATAATCTGGCTCTAATTTAAAAAATATTACCTCAGTCGGTGGGCTTTTAGTTTTTTAAGCTCCTATGCAACAGTGGCACAAATGATTGTGTTGTTTTTTTTGACATCTACCTTACTTAGGCCCATCAAACGGCCCCGGACATGGCAGTGCCCCAGTCTCCGCACAGCCCAAAACCTAAATTGGAAGGAAATGGTTACTGCTGCTCCAGGAGATTCTGGATCCTTTCCAATGTGCTTGATTTTGTCATCACTTTTATTTTTAAAAATTGTTTTCGTTATTCTGAAAAAAAGAGCTTAGAAAATATGTAAAAGCATAAAGAAAAAAGTCTCCTATAATCTCATCACTCGGTGCCAGCCGCTGGTAACCTGCTCTAACTCTGGAGTGCAAATATATGCATGCACTCACTCAACTTTATGAGAGGACATCAAGTCCAGTCTTTCGTGGTCAGACTGTAGGAAAGTATTAAGAGATGCAGGAAAAGGGGCATGCTGAAGGGTGTGCTATGTGAGGCCAGATGAGCCAATAGGTAATTGTATCGTTTCACTGGGAGGGCCTGAGGGATGGGTTTGCCATCAGTGGTGGGCCAGTCAGGGTGTTGACGTGGCCCCCCTCCAAGCCAGGACTGACAGTAGGGCCGGAGAGCTGGGCCTGCTCATGGCAGCAGGGATGAGGTCGTATGACCACTAGCTGTCGATGATGTTGAACTTCCAGAAGCCAGGGGCCACGATTACTTGTGAGGTCAGCAAGGTTGCAAAGGCAATCACCAACACGGCTTGGCCTTGAGGGAACTGTGGTCCCCAGGGGCATAGAGTTGTGCCCCATATGCTAAATGCAGAGAAAGGCAAGAATACACGGGCAGGAGACTGAGGTCTGCCCCCACCCCACTACCACCAATAACAGTATCTTCCTCTGCATTTGGACTCAATCCGGTTCTCACACCTGGAACCTGTACACTGACGAGGTGGGCAGTGAACCATTGCCAGCTAAAATACTGGATACCCAGTTAAGTTCGAATTTCAGATAAACAACGAATGATGTTTTAATGTAAGTATATCCCAGGCAATACTTGGGACATACTTATGCTAAGTTTTTTTTTTAATTGTTTATCTAAAACTCAAGTTTAATTAGGTCCTTATATTTTTATTACTTAATATGGCAATCCTAGTTCTGGAGAAAGGATCCTGATGCCATAAGGAATTTACACTATGATGATTCTTCTGATCTTTCCTCAAAGGGACCTATGTCTATTTACTTGGGTGCTGGTGCACGGATGTTCTGAGGACTATTCGACATAGGAGTTGAGAGTTGACGTTTATACTCATAGACCAGAAGTTTCTCTGTGGCTTCCTACTGGGTAATGAGTGAAGTAGTAGCCAGGTTTCAGCTTAGAGTGGGTCTACTGAGCCCAGGACTTGGGGGACTGGTGATCATTTCTTTGGCTCAGGAACACACGAAAGGGATTGACATACGTAGCAGTTGGAGTAGCTAGCATAGTAGGCCTCGGCCTGTGGTGGGGGAGGCCTCTAAAAGGGCATGCATTCCTTCCTACCCTCTATGTTCTGCCAAGATAGTAATGAATTAAAAAAAAGTGTTATATCTCACATCTCAAGAGATGGGACAGACATTAGCCCCACCCTTAAGGATCATAAGGAAGCATGGGTGGTGGTCCCCATCACCCATCTGTTTATTTCACCTGTCTCTGTCCTGCAGAGAGATTACACAAGCTCTCCTAAGTATTAGCCTCTATTGAGGCTGCTGTGCTGGGTATGGATTCATTGGTAGAGCATGTTAATAAGATCTCGGGCACATGGTATACACACAGTGATTTGGCAAATACTTTCTTTTCTTCCTTTCTTTTTCTTTTTTTAATGTTTTTATTTATTTTTGAGAGACAGAGAGAGACAGAGTGTGAACAGGGAAGTGGCAGAGAGAGAGACACAGAATCTGAAGCAGGCTTCAGGCTCTGAGCTGTCAGCACAGAGCCCAACGTGGGGCTCAAACTCATGAACCATGAGATCATGACCTGAGCCGAAGTCGGACGCTCAACCAACTGAGCTCCCAGATGACCCTTGGCTAATGCTTTCTTTGCTGCTCCAAGCAGAAAAAAAAAAAGTATTAGAAACTATTGGCATTCCCATGGAACAGGCAGAAATGCACATGACAGTTTTGCTCTAGGGCTCTCTGTCAAAATACAGTCAGAAGAGATCTGAACCATCTGAACATCCCACAGAACATCACATTGATGACATCTTGATTAAGTCAGACAAACAAGACGTGGCTAGCAGGAGACCATGGTAAGACACTTTCATTCCAGAGCATGGGAGACAAACCTTTCAAAGACTCAGGAACCTGCCAGGCAGGGAAATCTCTTAGAGGTCCAGTGGTCAGAGTCAGGCTGGGACAGCTACTCGAGTGAAAGATAATTTGCTCCATCTTGCATCCTCTACTACAAAGAAAGAAGCACAGTATCTCTTAGGTCTCTCTGGGCTTTGAAAGCAGCACATTCTGTACCTAAGACTTGTATTCTAGACCATATGCTGCATCGTCCAGAAGGCTGACAGATTTGAGTAGCGCCCAGGCAGGAAGAGTTTCTGCATAAGGACTGGGCTGTAGTGCAATTCGCGCTTCCAGGCTATTTGGCTGACGGGATGATGTGGAGATGCCAGCTGTGGGGAGAGAGGTAGTGTGCAGTTTATGGCAAACCCCAGTGGGAGAATTAAATGCAAGCCCCTGGGTTTCCATGGCAGAACCATGCCTTCTGTAGCAGAGATGTTTATGCCTTCCAAGAGACAGATCCTGGTGTGTTGTGTTACTAGACCTTGGCAAAGTAGAAACACTTGCCTGTTTTCACCAAATGACCATACTTCCAGAAGTAGCCATTATAATCTGATTCTCTTAGATGCAGCAAGTCATAAGATTGATTTCCATCCTAAGATGGAAATGGCACGTCTGGGATTGAGCCTCAGCTGAACCAGAGCACATGAGTCAGTTGCAAGAGCAAGTAGTTTTTGGAGGTCACCGAGAGGACATGACCACCGGTTGACCTGGAAGCTGAACCTGGCAATCAGAGGATCCTCACCCCTGCTCCTATCCTTGGAATGTACATCCTGCCCACTGTTTCCACAGTGGGAGCCATTTTCAAGGACTCAGATTTGAGATAGCAATGTGTTGAGATTTCTGGGACTGAATACATGACTGAACTCATTCAAGACCTCTATACAAACCATTAAGATGTGTAGGTGTGGAGAGTTACTCATTTTGCAGCTGCCCAAGACAAGGCTTGTATGCAAGCTCCCTTGGTTGTTAAAACTGCCGCTTATCAATCTGGAGTGGCCTGCCTCTTTCTTTGGTCTCTCCTTGCCCTCCAAGCATGGGGGCCAGTTTGCAAACCAACAGTATCCCAGACCCCCTTGCCACTTTCAAGGTTGGTATTAGCATCATTCGTCAGCTTGCACCTATGGCCACCAGGGGAGTCACATACGCAAGCTAAAAGAGCTGGTTTATGGACTGCTTGGGTTGGTATATGAGTGAGATCCAAAAATGAATACCTGGTACACTGTAGCCTTACTTAAGTGTGGATCTGCAAGACCGTGGTAGGGAAAATTTTCCTAATCGTGGAGTTTTGAGTACTGGACTTGATTGTTGCTATTGTGTAGAATAAGGGGCCTGAGGTGAGAAAAGGAGGGTGTGTATGAGTGCAAGTGTGTGTGTGTGTATGTGTGTGCATGCACACATGCATAAAAACACATACATCCTCTCAGGTAGTGGTGAGTGGTCTGGCTGGTTGGTCAGAAGCCAGAAAGGGAAACAGCTGAAAGACTGAACACAAGAAAGCTTGTGAGAGGCTTGTGAAGGGACGTGTGGGAGTAGAGCTGAAGTGTGAAGGGTTTTACATCACGGGTAATGTCCCCCAGAAAACAAGTGCCCACCGTGGAAAAGACACTGAATAACAACACAGATAAAATGTTTTGATCAGTCGACATTAGCTCGCCTTGCCATTGGTCCCTCTGTACTGGAGTGGAGTGGTCATGGGGACAGGGATGGATGGCGTGACTCCCATTTATCAGTTGCCCCATGAATAGAGCAAATGGTGGCAGCCACGGAGTTCCGTGGCTTAGATATTCCTTTAAGAAGAAACCTGCTGACCAGCTGTGAGGAGTGCAGGTAGCTGACGGTCTTCACTGGCAGCACCTTCTGGATGCATCACAGCATCTGGATGGCAACCACCCCCTCTTCCCAGGCAGCTCAGGCACTGGCTGAGCCCCGCGGGAATAACAGTACCCTTTCTGCCCAACACGGGACTCTTCTACCAGCCATCTTTGCTCCAGAGCTCAAAGGGGGCCAAGTGAGAGTTTTGCATAGGTGCACCTCCGGCTAGGGCCTCTCTGCTCAATCCGCCTGGCTTCTCCCTTTCTTTTCACGAGTCCAAATGCTAGCATCACAGTCTGCTCCTGCTCCCTTTTCCATTTATTTTTCGTAGACGCCTCCACCACCTCCTCCTCCACCTCCTTCTGGGCATCTGCTTCCTAGAGGACCCAACAGATGCAGAGGCATTTCTGCTCTCCTTTGTTGTAATAATGAATGTACCTTTAATTTTCAAAGTATGTGTTTGAATAATTCTTTTCCCTGCTGTTTGCTTCTTGGTGTTGAATAGTTTATTACGTGGTACTCATCTCACCTGAATGTACTTGAGTGCTCACACAAATCATTCACAAAGATATATTTTAGTGTGTCAAGAATAAGGTCTTAGTATAACAATTCCACAAA